AAAAAAAAAAAAAAAAAAAAAAAAAAAAAAAAAAAAAAAAAAAAAAAAAAAACAGTAACAGTTTTACAAATTACTGATAAATTTATTTGTTTTTGATTTCTAACTTCTAACAATACTTTCATTTTTAACCTATCTTAGTAAGAATCAAGCAAGAAAATAACGTACCAGATTGATGTTCTCTTCAGCAAAAAGCTGGAGCAGCCTTCCCAAGAACATAAGCACAACAAAAGATTACTAAATATGCAGTAAATAAGAATATCTTTAAGGTTCTTGCTTCCATCTAGTAATCACAGAATGGTACAAGACGTTTAATAATACACCGGTACGTACGACAAGCATGGAGGAAAAAACATGTACAACACAAGAAATATAGATCGAAATATCGTTTCCGGTCCTTCCATACCATACCCATTACATCCAACCAAAAATATAAAACAAACTAAATACACTTACTTGCTAAGAGAAAGTAAAAGAAGAAAGAAACAACAAACACTTTTAACGGGGAACCTATTTGTGGAGTACAATCCATTCTCAGCTACAGACCTCAATAAATGCAGACACTAAGAGAGCCAACAAATACCTCCAAGACTTCACCTATCCTATTTTACCAAACAAGAATATCAGAAACTCCCCAAGTCAGAAGACAGAATTCAATCCACTTACCAACAGATTTGATACTTTCTTCCCCTCCAAAGATTTATCTCATCTTCAGTTTATCCTCACAAAAGTTGGAGCTATTATTAGCTCATGATCACGTTTTGAACGGCAGTTCTAAATAACATTCAACACATGATCATCCTAATCAAAGCATTCCGGCAGGTCATAGAAAAAGTAGGTGTTAAAAAAATGAGTAGTCATTTCCATGATGTGCAAGTTATAAGTGATGCCATGAGATGAGATGTGCTGCTATCTTACAAAGTGGTTAAACCTCAATTGTAAATGATTGGATAATAGCTAGCTGTGCTCAGACTCTTGATCTCTCTATGGAAACGAAAAGGTAGACGGTATACATGCAAGCTTTTCCATAGATTGAGAGTAATCCATTAATCCTACATTATTACAATCAGTAAAAAGAAAATCCTACCATAAAAAGGAACAAGAAGCTAAAAAATAAAAACTAAATTCTAGTTAGAAAACTAAAAACCTGATGATATTGACTCAAAGAAATTCAAGATGCGTTAACTTCTCTAATACTAAGGCCAATTTGACAGAATTAGTAAATTTTAACCAGTCAGTCTATGATGTTACCAATTCACACAGAAACTTAGCACTGCCGTTCAAATGATATCATGAACATCCAACTTGTCATGTCACAGAGAAGATAAACTGAAGATGATAATCAAAACGTTGGGGGTTAAAAACTTCAGAAATTTCTGATATTCTTAGTAAACTGTAAGATAGGCTTGAACTGTGGAGGTATTTGCTATTACTATAACACCTAACCAGATAATTAACATCCTGACACAACTGAACCAAGGGAACCTCTTCTCCCAGCAATACCTAGTACAGCACCTTGCAGTATTGAATCTGCCCGTAGAATGGAAGACTTTCGCACTACATAATCATATAAAGGAATGCACATGGGTATGGAAGCCATTACAGGGAAGGAACCCTAACCAGGATACTAGACCTGCCATAGAAAGAAATCAAGCATCAGATTAGATAACACAGGTTAAACGAGAAACATTATACATTGGGTTAAGATGCAGTTTCTACAGCCTGAATGCCAATCAGATTCTTAAAAAACATGAACCACCAAAAAAATTTTACAAACAAAAGATATCTTTCCATCAAAAGGGAATGTTCTTTTCAGGCACCACCTCCAACCTTGCCTAATGGGAGTAAGAGCATTGGAGACAAGTATATACTACAATTCCCTAATTCCTACTAGGTAGAAAAATAAACTTAAAAAGGGTAACAATACCGTCTCAACGTTCCCTTTCCCATCCACTTGTGTGAGAGAGTTCGATGTTGGATTAGAAAACCTGCACCCCATAAATAAAGAGAAAAACAAACAATATGTTAGATGCATTATTTCTAAGGTTTATATACTCCAAGCACAATCTTCACAAACCATAGATGACAGAACTGGAAGCATTTCATTTAACTACAACCAAACCAGGGAAGCAAAATTTCGAGCCCAGTACCTAAGTGCCCTTGCTTTCCTCTTTTCCTCCTCCTGGGTGTCTGGCTTTGACGATGAAAACCTCGCAAGGCGTGCTTTCTTCTTTGCCTCATCCTCAGTAGTCACTGATGCAGAAAGCCCAAACCTAAAAAACCAAAAAGATTAGAAAAAGATTGAAAGGTAAGATGAATGAGCAAAAGTCAATAAACACAATTTCTTTATTCGACAGGGGGAACTTCAATCCATAAGACATAGTACAGACCTCTGAGCTCTAGCTTTTCTCTTCACCTCCTCTGATTTATTTGATGCTCCCAACCCATTTTTTGTGGTACCCATACCAAACCTGAAATTGTCCTCAACAGTCAAATGATAGATGTTTTACAGAAAAAGAAAAAATACATGGCTCTTAACAGAACTTGGAAAATTAAAGATAAAGGTGAATATTTTAATAATAGAAACAAGAAGAAAGAGAACACCAATATAAGCACCAATAATGAATTAAGTCCCACATAACATCCCAATATTTCAACTTATCTAAGAAGATTTTAGCACAACCAAACTTACTACAGAACACCCTGGAAAAGACAAGACCAAAAGGCTCTCACATTTAAAGAAGTGCCAGAGCGTTGCTGCTTCGTGCACTGAGAGGCACAAGTAGGGAAGTACCGAGATAGATGGAAAGGGCATAACAAACTATTCCAAGCTTCCCTTGAGAATGGATAGGAGAGAAGGAAAGGGCTACCACTTTCCTTTTTTTTCTCTCATGTAGATATAACAGTGAATGATATTTGACATATATCAATAAGCCAGTCCAATCATTTTGGAGTTAAAATTACACCATTCCGAGTAAAATTTCAACCCATTACCAGAATATGAACAGTAAGATTGTGCAATAAAACCTATGCATCTGACTAGATAATGATACAGTGTTGATATGCTCCAGAAAATCTTAATCTACAAGTACCCAATGACCTCGTAACTGCATACGCAAACCATAGGTCAAGCTTATGACGGGAGATACATAAAATTTTGAGTTTGTCAAAATCCCTACTCAGGAAGTTCATGACATATTAACGTAATATTAATACCAGTGACTTATCATTACACTTGTCCGTAAAAAGAGAGAAAACAAATAGATGCAAAACAATCACAGGAAAAGAAGTATAAAGAAAGGCATAATCTCCAAGTGGATTTAAATTTGCATCAGCACAAGGATGCAAGACATGCATGCATCGTAGAGCAGAAACTACAAAGGAAAAGGCGTTACCGTTCCGCTCGAGTGTTACGCTTTTCTTCTTCAGACAATTGCACTGAAATCCCAAAACGCTCGGCGCGGCGCATCTTCCTCTGGATATCAGAAACCGATGCACCATCCCCTTCAACCAAAACCTTATCGGAGCCCTTGGGTTCATCCCTTTCCTTCGAAACTCCGCCATCAGTTGACGACGGAGGAATAGAGACAGGAGGCTGGGCGGAGGAAGAAATCGCAGGGTCTAGGGCTTGATTAGGGTTTTCTCCAACCGGATTCTTGCTATTACTGATGTCACTGAGTCCTGCAGATGCTACCGTCGTCATTGAAGGCACAGATTCGAGGCCGGAAACCTAATCGGAGACTGCTTGCAAACCACGAACGCTACAGAGGCGATTTGCCGCGTAAAAGAGAGCGCCGAGTAGATTTCTATCTCTGTTTCAGTCTGGTCAGATATAAATTCGCATCAGAATGAAAACAGGGGAAATTTTCCTTTTCTTAATGCCACGTGGTAGGTTTTCATTGGACCATCGGAAGTGATTTTCCAATTTTAGCCCGTCATGCGATCTACCGACTTTTCTCCGTAAATAAAAATGTTGTAAATTGTTTTTTTCTTTTAATTAAATTAAAATTAAAATTTAGTAATTAAAAATTAAAATTTGTTGGCAATAATAAAAATAATTCATCTTTAAAGGTATATTGAAAATAAAAAAATGAGAATTTTCTTTTAATTAACTAATTTTTTAGATATTAATTTTTTAATTTTATATTAATAAAATTCGTGAAAAAAATCAAATAAATCAAATCTAAAATTAAAAATTTTAAAATTTATTAAACATAAAATTAAAAATTAACGAAATTGAAAATTTAGGGATGAAATAGATAAAATTGGAAAGCTTTGAGATTAATAATTTAATAAAAGAATATATTTAATTTAAAATTGGTTATTTAAATTTTAATTATACCATTTTAAAATTTTGTGGGTATAAATTAATTTTTATCCGAAATATTTATTTAAAAATGTTTTTAAGAGAGAAAATTCGAAGACTTTGAACGACGTGTCGACAAGATAGACGAAAGCCATTCGATATGTCGATTTGGTAGACCTGTTTCTCTAACTCAGCGTCATGGAATGAAGCTCCGAAAAACAATGGATAAGATTCGTTAAGCCTCAGTCTCTGGTGTTCGAAGCGGTGGAAATGGCTTCAATCATCCACCATGGTCTTCAAATTTCTTCCAAGATCGATTCTCCATGGCTCAGGCTTTCATCGCAGCTTCATTTTCATCCTCGGACATCGGTTGAGATTGTCCATAATCGCGTTCCTCAATTCTCCCCAGGTTGCGCTCTTCCCTACTCTCTCTATACTGAAGATCGGCGTTAATCTCATCGAGTGTGTGTGAATTCGTATTTGTAGTTATCATTAATTGCCGTCGTGGTTCGCGCTCTCTGATTCGACGCGGCAGTCGAATCGAGAGGGAAGGTGATCCATCTACTGCAGGTCAGTGAGAGTTTCATCTAGTTTTTTGATTAGGTTAATGGAGAAATTTGTGCATGATTGTTTTAAGTAGACGTGGATAAGAGAGAGACGTTTTTCATTTGTGGTTGCTCGTTCATCATACGATAACAGTGAGACAAATTTGCAGAAGCCGATAAGGCCGAGGGGACCGAAAGTAAAGTTTCTTCAATTAGGAATGTTGCTTTATGTGTAAGCATTCGTTGATCTTTAATTTGTGGATGAAATCGAATGGTTTGGCTGTCATTTGATTTATGAGCTATTTTTCATTTTCTGTTATAGGTTGCTAGTGCACTGGCATTTGGCGTCGGGGTGGGCTTGAAAGATGGAGCGGGCAAGGCATCTGAATTTTTCGCTGGGTATGTTGCGTACTGCATTCTAAAGTTGTCTCACCATTAAAGACAAAGACACAATTCCTCAAGTTGTCTGCCCTCTTTTAGCGAATTGTTGATACGACGACAAATGGAATTGGATTGAATCGAATGCGAATTATAACTTCATTGGTAATGGGAAATTAAAAAAAATGGCTGTATACGGGAGAACATTATACAGAATGCAATTTGCACTGCTAGGTCCCGTAAGTTCTGGTTACATTGGTACTTGGATTCATGAAAGATAAAAAGTTTGAACTGTTCGTTACATGGAAGTGTAGAAGGACTGTGCAGCTTAATTAGGACAAGAGGGCACGTATATGTTTATACACTTGATACTAAGATACGAGCTTTGATCTTAACTTTGTTTATCGTCAGATCATAGATGTGACTTTAGCTGCCTCGTTTGAAGAATTTACTTTTATGCACCTTGAGGAATGAACTCCACTCTGTTCTTTTCTACTTTTTCTCAAACGAACACAAAGAATCACGCATGCTGCGTAAGCCGTAGCGCGTGTACTCTTCCTCGAGAACCATATTTTAGTTTCAGTGTTTATTCTTAGATGTGGAGATTTGGATGATGCCTTAACTCATGATTGCGTGAACTAGAATGCTTCACTTTATTATCCTTCTTTTTGCTCTATTAATGTCTTATTTTATGACAATTTTCAGGTATCTTCTGGAGCAAAGTTTGTCAGTTGACAATCTTTTTGTTTTTGTTTTGATTTTCAAGTACTTCAAAGTGCCAATCGAGTATCAGGTGCTAACTTTCTGCAAAGCTGTCGATAATTAAGTTGCTCCTTCGCTTGCAAACTATTAATATGATTTTGCTTTACGGTATAATTTGATGACTATGCATCTTGATGATCTGTTGGTTTGGAAATATAGAATCGGGTGCTTACATATGGTATTGCTGGTGCAATTGTCTTTCGTCTAACAATCATACTTCTCGGAACAGCCACTTTGCAGGTAACTTTCTTTTCAATATTATATTCCACTTTGCTTATATGGTCTACCTGAGACTATATCTACTGTTTCAGAGATTTGAAGGAGTAAACCTGCTTCTGGCTGCTATACTACTATTCTCATCTTTTCAGGTTGATTTTTAAGTTTTTCATCTTGTCCCCCACGTTTAGTTATTAGGATCTCTTACCGTAAATGCATGACTTTCTGCAGTTATTTGCCAGTGATGAAGAGGATGACAGTGATCTATCAGACAACTTTGTAGTAAAGACGTGCCAAAAATTAATCCCTGTGGCAGGTATTCTGCAATTATATTCGTGTTTATTTCTTCTGCTGGAATGTGGACTCGTGGTCATTTGTCCTATTTTTTTAGCTCACTTATATATTAAGAGGAAGTAGAGACTAGACTCCTTTGCACCTTTTGTGTATGTATGGTGCAAGAAAAAGTGCGAACCCCATCAATATGATGATTGGTTTTCCTTAAAATACTGTTTATATTTTGCTTGGCAACATATGAAGAAGCTATTATGAGGAGTTATCTAGAAATAAAGGAGGAAAATAAAAATTTCTTGCAATAGAATGGATATTTTTCCAATCAAGCTTTTTTTTCACCTATTGTTAATTATACAAGAGAACGATGTGTGAAAGTGTTACTTTTTCTGGTCTGTTTGGTTAGCTTACAGTCAAATGGGTTTTGCCTCGTTTTATGCTAATGGTTAGATCTTACTTCCCCTGTTTAATTGTTGCAGCTAACTATGATGGGAATCACTTTTTTACACTTCAGGAGGGTGTTAAGAAAGTAAGTCATGATGGACTAGATCAAGCATGTGAAACTATATTGTTGCTTTTCGGAATATTATTGATTATGCTTTCTCGTAGTGTAAGATAAGAGTGCTTAAATTTTTTCTTATTGAAAAGCATGTCACATCATTCTATTAAAAGCTTATAAATCTATTATATAAACTTATTTTTCACATGATTTCTAACAGGTCTCGAACATTTTGGACAGGCAACACCTTTACTTCTCACCGTGGCAGTAATTGAGCTCAGTGATATAGCATTTGCAGTATGTTTTTCATATTCATGCTATACATGTATTAGGATATCTTTTGACTTTACATTTTTAGTTTACGGAAATGCTCAGTTAACGTTCCTTTTTCTTGAACTTGGTGCTAGGTGGACTCAATACCAGCAGTTTTTGGTGTTACAAGGGACCCTTTCATAGTGTTTACGTCTAATCTTTTTGCCATTCTAGGTAATTCTGTTGTCCTTCCTTTGTACTAACCTCTCTGTGTGTATTGTTTTTTTGGCGGGGGGATGGAGATGATGTAATTGACGTTGATGTTTTCTTACTCTTTACATCTCGAGATATGAGCAGTAGATGGTAATGGGATAAAGAGTTTTCATTGCTATTATTAAATCAAAGAACACAATTTTGTTCATTTATTTCCTTTATCAAGTTTAAAGTAACTTTGGTTCGTATGTCTTTTGGAATTGAAGTTTCTTAAGATGCATAGTGACCACCATTTTGATATACTGTAGGTTTGAGATCCCTATTTGTGCTTGTATCTGATGGTATGTCGGAATTGGAGTACCTACAGGTAAAATCTTAGTCTTGTACAAAATCAGGAGAGAGTCAAGTTTAAAATGGTGGAGTTGGCACACCTCAAGTTTAAATGTCTTTTGTGAAAGTCGTAACGAGCGTACCATTGATATAGAGTAGGATTTCAGATGATTTGATTAAAATGCAAAAAATTTTAAAATCGTTTGAAACAAGCTGATGGTCATATATTTGTGGACAAATACTATGGCCCTTCCTGTGATTTTGAAAGCAGTTTTGGCATTTCCATGTAACCGATGTCTTATTAATCACTCGGTTTTACTAGAACGTCCCACTGAAGGAAATTCTCTCATTATTTTCTGTCTCCTTCCAGCCATCTATTGGCGTTGTTTTGGCATTTGTTGGAAGTAAGATGATCCTGGATTTCTTTGGTGAGCACTTCCATCAGCTCAATATTTCAAATCTGATTCGACTTGGATATGCATTTCAAAATTCTAGGACTCATTGATCTGTTTTCCTGCAGGATTCCACGTCCCAACTGAGGCATCTCTTGGTTTTGTTGCATTAAGTCTGAGCACTGGGGTCCTGTTGAGTGTACTGAAGAAGTCTGATGGATCATGATAACAAAAAATACAGGTATTTTACTTCAATTGAATCTAGTTTTTGCTTCTTCATTTTTGTTTTTTCAAAAAAACAACCCTAAATTCAAGCTCCTAAGCTGAAAACTAATTAACTTAAATCCCTAGTTTCAAGCTTGTAAGTCGAAAACTTCATAACTCAAAACTCTTATTCAATATAGCTAGTGAATAGACCATGAGCATAATACAAAAAGTAGAAATGTAGAGAGTGAACGATGCTCCAATTATCAAAAAGTGGGAACAACAAAAAAAAAACTAGAATTTAGAGCATATGTCCCGTGTGCATCCGCTTGTACTTTACTTTTAGTGATTTTTGTAACTTTGTACAAGTTACTTCATCTCGATAGACCCTTAGGCACAAGTTTTTTTTTTTTTTTTTTTTGGTACTTATAGTTTGCTTCATATTCTCATGTGTGGTTAATATATCCCTGTTTCCTCTAAAATAAATTCAAAAAATCAAATACTATTTTATGGTATAACGTTAGAATGTTCTTACATTTTTATTGTAATTTCCATGGTTGCTAGAATTTAGTGTCAAAATTGTCGCACAAGAACGTGCTGGAGCCTTGGATGTACGCAGGAAAAGAAAAAAGATGCGCATTCTGCTTATGCTGTCTACAAAAACTGGAGGTTAGAAGAACCTTTTTTTTTTTTTTTTTTTTTTTTTTTTTTTTTTTTTGTTTACCAGTCTTGATTGTTGTGCTGAGAGATGAACTTCCTCTGTTATTTGCAAATAATTCCAAATCTCTCTCTCTCTCTCTCAAACGAAGTTCAAAACCTTTCTGTAGCAGTAGATCTGAGCTTTTGGACAAAGTACAGATTTTTATGCAAAAAATGTGATGGTATCTTCCTCCACATGAAATTAATTACTTCCTTCATCTTTACTGATTTTCCAGTTACTAACTGATCCAAGCATACTTAACTATTTAAGAATGTTATTATTGGCAATTTTGTTTTTGTAATTTTATTGGGTTTGAACTTTTATTAATTTTAGAATGACAATATGATTTAAATTAATTTTACGAAGAACTATACGATCGATGATTGATTTTGTTTAGCACACATTTAAAATAGTGAGAAGAGAATTCAAGATAACAAACGTTATAATCTTTTAATCACATTCATCTTGAGTTGTAAATTTTCATGCTACAAAATCTGAATAATTTCTTTTAAATAATCATTTTTTCCCTGACACGAGAATGAGAAAGGGTTTAAATCAAAATTGTCTATTTCGAATCAAATATAAGAAACGTTGTATTCTCCTCTGTCTTAACAATATAATCCATTAAAAGAATTTGAACTCTCAAAGTGGTATAATTTATTTTACAGAACTAAATTTATTTCTAACTATCAAAATGTTTCCAATAAACATAATATTGAATATAATTGAAAAGAAGAAGAGCTCTTAGTCCTTGATTTGTGTCTAAGATCGGAAAAGAAAAACTCATTCACCCCACTTTTACGATATTACGATATGAGTCAAACTTAAGAGGAACTTGAGCCCCATATTCATTTTTCGCTCCGACTTTATGGTTTCGTTAGACTTTAGACGAGATTTGTCTTCGGCAACCGAAAATCACTCGAACGAAATTCAAGCTTGTTCAACACACACAACCTATGTCTGTGCACAACTAGATGATTTAATCTTTTACGTTACATAAATTATTGTAATGATTGTATCAACGGTTTTCGACAGTGGCTTGGTCAATAATATACCATGGTTTTCAGATTTTAATCATTTTAAAGTAATATATTAGTCATTTTGGAAATTTTTATGTCAACAATTTTATTTACACATCTTATAATATCAACAATTTTATTTACACATCTTATAATATCAACAATTTCATACATTTAATTTAATTATAATGTTGAAGGTAACAATTTCATACAATAAATGTACAATAAATGATATACGGCGGCCGACAAGAATAAGGGGGAAAAAGTCCGTGGGAGTTGCTAATAAATTAAACAAAATGAGAGGTGCACATGCGTCGTAGAGCTCAGGATGTGGAAAGCTACACCGAACTCATTTAAAGAGGAATCAAATAAAAATTGATTTTGATTTGAGTTCTTTCTTCATATCTAAATGGGACCCAACCATTTATCAATAGTTTGGTTTGATTTGGTTTATCAAATATTCTAATCCAAACTATACCAAACCAATCCATAAGATCTCCAAATCCACTTTATGAAAGGTTGCAACATTGTAAGAGATCGAGTTATAACAGAGTTGGAACCGAAGAAAAATTACACAAAAAGTTAGAAACGCGCAGACAACTCGAATAGAATTAGCAGCAAGATGATGGGAGAAATTGATACCTTTGTAATGAGCAGAAGCTACAAAGCATCCAGCCATTAGTTGTGTTGGTTGCACGTGGCTCGCTCGACATCAATGTCTGCAATAAGAATACGTCATCGTATGAACTTTCTGATGCTATGACTTCATGGCAGCGCTAAAAGAAGGAAGTTTCTCTATGATTAAAAATGAAACCACAAGAAGAAAGCTATGTATCAAATGGTAGTAATGTGAGAGTTTTCCAGTTGTACAGAAGAGAAAGGAAAGGAGAGAGGAGGTGTAACAATGAATAATAATACACTCACATTGTGTCCAAACACAAACTAAAGTAGAGTTTTCTGATGCAGAAAGGCAGAAGGCCTTCTTGAATTAGAAGTCCAGTAGCCACTGGCAACAGAGTCCAGTTCAGCTTTTGTCTGTCTAATTTAGAATTATTAAGTAAAAACATCATTTTTCTGTCTAAAATGGTACACTCTAATTTTTCTATTTTCCCAAATGCACATGGACATTTCTTGTTAAAGGGAAAACCAAATCTTTGTTTGTTTACCAAAACAATGCCTATGGCTTTAGCCATCTCCGACATTGCTCGTGTTTTCGCTTGTGTTTTGTCTCACGAACTGTCCCCTCACACGGGGCCTCTGTTCTGCCAATTTCTTTCTGCCTTGGTATCGGACCTGCGGAGGAATAAGTATTCGTAAATAAGTATCTTAATATCCCTAAAGAATAAGTCAGAATCTCAGCAGCAAGACACAGAAGAAGGAAAGCATGACAATAGATATGCAATTACTTCACAATGAAATGAAAGACCAATGCGAGGCTTCTACTTCTGCATATTATAATTGATAAAATTCCATTGATAAGTTGGAACCTTGGGAAATCCATTAACATCAAATAATTTCTTTTCCAAGTGAAATCCCTGTTTTACTATGCCGCAAATATGAATATATTGCGGCCCCACACCTGATGCATTGTGCTTGAAAGAAGTGATCGAGGTTTAGCAACCTCGAGTAGGATGTTTTATCAGACTATCATGTTATAACCATCAAGTATAGTTCCTATTTCATCTGAGAAAATAAAAAGGAATTCCAATTTTTATGCAACATTACCCAAAAAAGTAATTTCCTTCAAGATGAAATGTACAGAAATGCATGTAGTATAGACACGTGTTTGTATCCGTGCAGTGTTCATTCAAGGCGCAATTTCAGTGTCTGCGCTTCTCAATGACTTTCAGACTACTGGTAAAGACAGCACAAATCGAAATAACAGTAAGGGAGGATAGGATTACTCTCCTCAAAGTACTTGTTGTTATGCTGATAGCTACTCTCTCAGTGAAATATGATACTAGCTGAAAGAACGTGGGGCGGAGAAATATGATATTGACTGAAATTTAACATGGGGGTCGAAAATGAAAGTGGAGGGTTCACACTGGACATAAAAATGCCCCTAGAAATATGAATCACGATCTTTCCGAGCAAAGAACAAGACAAGGGATCATAAAATAGACATAACAGCCATTGGACTAAAGAGGGAGTAAGCAGCATTACCTTTTTATGGAAGCATCTTTCCTTCCGTTTCTGGCGAAACTTTGTCAAGGCTGCTTCCCTTTGTGAGACTTTGTCTTGGTCCACTTCGTTTCCACTTCCACTACCACTTCCACTGGCATCCCCACTTCGACTTTTCCGGCCTATTCCATTATCACTTTCCATATTCAGCCCTCCAGCATTTACTGCAGTGCTGCTCCCATTTTGGCCATTGCTTCCATGGTTACTGCCCGAGGCGCTACCATTCACACTATAATTTGCTGCATTACCTTCTACAGGGCCATTTAACACATTGGATGACCCACAATGTGTCGCAGCTGATATTTTCTTTAATGAAAAATCATTACGCTCCGATGACATTTGTTGATTATTTTGGGCAAGCAGATGAGTGTGATCATACGGGTGACAAAGTTGCTGAATTTGAGATTCCCCGTGCACACAATTAGACTGAGTTTGAATTGTTGTAATTGTACCGTTATTGATAGTATCAGCTTGCTGAGGAACAGATAGACTGTCATTCTTAATAGGTTGGGCCAACGGGTTCAAACAGTTGACTGTGGATGCCATTGCTGACTTGTTATTAGTGACTATGGACTTGGAAAATGCATTATTCGTAGTGGACCCCATGTCAATATTATTGCTATCTCCATTTGAGCATTGATTGGGAGGATTACCACTCGAATGAGATCGAATATCTTGCATGTTCTCTTGGTTTGTAACTTCTAAGCCAAGAACAGGAGAAGAGTTACTTCCAGCATTCCCAGTTCGAGTCTTGTTAGAATTTGAGCCAGCATTGTACCTGTGAATGTATGGACAGTGAACTTTCATTGGTCAAAGAGGCAATTGCCTCAACATTTTGAAACAATATTTAGAAGGATGGACCATTTCTCACAAACCTAGAAAAAGCTGAAGAATCTGAGCGTCTCAAAACATTCCGCTCATCTTGGTCTGCTTTCCCTGTCGTTTGAACTCCTCTAAGCCTTTTTAATCCAAGCTCAAGGGATGGAAATTCTCCTGAATCTGTAACATCTTTATTCTTAATGTCTATCTTGGGATTGCTGGTTGGTGCCTCAAACACTGTGACATCCAACTTAGAATCTTTAAGATTTGTAGCAAGACCAGTAACATTTGTTTGTTCGTACTTGAGTTTGCTGGATGGATTCTCAGAGTTGAGGTCAAGCTGTCCTTTGTTGAACTGCTCATTAAATCCATTGGATCCTATCTCGAGCATAATATTCTGTTGTCTGTTAGCTAGCTTGGTTGGATGTTCCGCAGACAGTTCAAGTTGTAAATCTAGATTTATGTGCACGCCTAATTCAACTCTACCCACGGAAACAGTTTCTGAAGAAATAAATACAAGATATTACACGTATGGTTAACAGTTCATAAAGTTCTCAGACACAGCCCAATATTCGAACGCATACCAAGTTGCTTTTTCTGCACCTGGCACTCGGCTGTCAAAACAGGTGGCACGTTATTACCAAATGCATCAGCATTTGAGTGGACAACTTGAGCACAAGTACTATCAGGACGTTCACGCTTTTGATCCCATGCTGATGCAGATACTGGTCGAGGGCTTTCAACCTCTATAGCTTGCTTGGTCCAAGAACTCTGCAGAAAAATAACAGTCCATTACCAATTTAGCAACCCCCCACAAAAAGCTTTCAACTGGATGAACTTGAAGGTCTTATCAATGGGAAAAAAAAAATGTATCCCACTTATCTGCCCTTTCATATGGTGACAAAAAACTCCGGTCACAAGATTGCTGCTAAAAGGATAAAAGTGCATTTGATCTGATCAAGGTGAGAAGGGGCACTAAAGTTGAAAGTCGTTGAGTAAGCTTATACCAGAATATGCAATTTGCTTAGTGAAGGTGACACTTCAACGAACTAGAAAGAGAAAGTGAAACTAGTTACTGTTGGCACTTCTGGGGATTTGGAGAAATCTTGGGAAAGGATTGGATCATTGGCAGGCCTAATGCTTATATTTGAGAACCAAGACTCCTGCAGTTACCCATTATGTTTTCTTATTGTGGATTGGAACTCCTTTTTCTATAGCCAGTTGTTTGGCTTCTTTAATTTCGGCCGTTTTCTGTATGCCTTTTTTGGCTTTTCCTTTTACATTCTTTCAACTTTTTCCACAATCAAAGCTCAGTGTCTCTTTTTTAAAAGGAAAAAAAGGAAAAAAAAAAAAAAAAAAAAAATTACTCTTCATTTGGAAACCTTCAGAATTTCGGACAGCAACCATCATTCATAAGCAACAGTCCTAACAGTTCCAAGATTGAAATTCAGTCATGTCAGACTTTTAAACCAATCATATTATGTCAAAACAGATGATATTTTCAGGATTGAACTATATACTGAGAAGGATATTGATGAATATTGATCCCAATAAAGATAATAGATGAGGAAAAAAGAAAGTACTTCTTCCCCGAGGGTAGGAATAAGGCTCCTGGTCAATCACTAGGTTGCTTTATGTGATACACAGGTAAAGGAAGGGGCAGGATAGACATCCTGAGGATAGAGTAGCTAAAAAATGTTTAAAAGAACTAAAAGTCACTGCCTACCAGCAAGTTGCACCTTCCTTTTTTGATGACTCAATCATAAAAAATAAAAAAAAAATTCCTAAGATGCATGTGAGTGAGGACAAAACATGTTGAAAGGACTCAGGTTGGTATGTAGAGATAGTCTTCACTTTTAAGAAGTGAGTAGTAGGTAAAGTGACCATGTCGCAGGAGATGTAATGGAATAGTGAGGCCATAAGGTGTCGAATCCATATCTGAATCCTTGGCATAGGTCGTTACACTTAAGCTCAAGATTCCTACAACTACTTCGTTTTATTATAACACATGCTATTATACAAGGGTTGAACTAAATATAGCATATAGTAATCTCGCGTTCACTCTAATACTTTTTTATATATATTTTTTTAGTCTATAAAAAACTATACATCCTTGCATAAGATATCATCGATCAATTCAGCATGCTTAAACCCAGAGAATACAAAGATAAATTGGGGGGAAGGGTGGAAGACACACAGAGAGAGAAGAAAAAAGAGAGCTCCCATCTTCAGTGTCCCCAACCAAGGGTAAACATGATTTCGGAAAGACATTAAGTGCTAACAATTCCTAGCAAACTAAGGTATCAACAATCAATTCATTGAATGCACAGGAAAGATGGACTAAGTGGCAATGAAGAGTAAACTAGAATAAACGAGCATGGGACATTGCAAGTTATCCACAATGGCACGGAAATGCAAGTTAACAAATAAATCTCCACTTCTAGGATAATTTACGATCAAACAAGTAACTAGCACTGTAACTAAGAAGTAATCCAAGGGAAACAAGAAAGGACGATCTAATCTAATGGACAATCCATCTATGGTGAATTAAATTATTTTACCATGATGTCACCATTTCAGAAAAGAGCTTGTCAAGCCAAAAGTAATTCGAGAGAAATCTACTATCCTTGACCAGATATGTTTCAGACTCTCTAATGTTCATATAAAACAATCTTAGATCCTGTTAATCTCTTAACAAAAACTTATAATACCTGTGTGCCACTGCCATCGTCACTTCCATCTCCAATATTGAAGCCAATGCTCTCATTGTCTTCTTCTTCTTCATTGCTCCCGGTGTTGTTATCTGATTTTTGAACACTTTTTGACTTCACAGATTTTTGGGTCTGCGTGCCACTTTCACTTCCACTACCGCTAGACTAAGAGAAAAACTAGAAATCAGCATGACATAATTAATACGGAATATCAAGTCCCCAACGAAAAAGCCATATCACATGGAAAATACACGCGAACCAAAATTCTATGATATTGCATCCGGCATAAGTTTAGGCAGATCTCATAAAGGAAAGTGACATCCAGTATAGATAAGTAGTTTAGAGGACATCAAGAGTACTTCACTCTTAATATTTATCCATCTGTAATAAGCCATAAAGTCAGTTTATCAATGCAATGCAATTGAGAAGGGACACACGAAAGTGAAAGTACTCACACTATGACATCTTCTCCAAACATGTTGCCAAAGGTTTTTAAGCTCATTCTTCCGAATGGGCTTCACTAAAAAATCGACAGCACCCTTTGACAAACATTTAAAGACTAAACCCATTGAGTCATGAGAAGACATCACTGCATACGTATCACATCAGAATCAAGAATTCAATTGATTAGCTTGCATAGAAAGATAAACCTGCTTAAAAGCTATACTATTGATAAACTAGACACTTCAAGAAACTTACTAATCACAGGTATATTCTTCCTTGTTTTATGGCTCATAATCTTGCATAAAAGACCGATGCCCGATAAGCAAGGCATGACCACCTCTGTTAAGACAAGATCTATGTGATTTGTCAGATCTTCTAGCACCTTCCATGCGTGTAGTCCATTTGCAGCTGCAATAACTAAGAATGCCGACGAAGAAGAAAGGATGGTAAACAAGAAAAGAACATAAAACCAATTGAAATTCAGGTCACAGGCAGCAAATTTGTGAACGGACATTCAAGGATGGTAAACCAGAAGAGAACATAAAACCCAAATGAAATTCAGACCATAGGCAGCAAAATAAAGGATATTCAAAGCTCAACCGAATGTAAAGATATGGGAGATTCAACAAATCCTGACCAACGGGGAACTGCAAACTTTGCCAGATAACTATGTTTACTTCCAAGATACAATAGAGTAACAGAAGAGCTCACAGCTGAAGGATGCCTTAAATTCATTCCAGTATGTTTTCCATAATTGCTACCCAGAAAAATGAACAATGGAAAGTTATAGTTTTCTTCATCGAGAAGAAAAATAAGTCTGAAATGTGGTGAAGCAAGAAATGCAGCACTACACACATATTATGTCAGATCTCCTAGCATCTTCCATGCGTGTAGTCCATTTGCAGCTGCAATAACTAAGGATGCTGACAAAGAAGAAAGGATGGTAAACCAGAAGAGAACAAAAGAGAACATAAAACCCAGTTGAAAGTCCGACCATAGGCAGCAAATTTGTGAAAGGAGATTTAAAGCTCAACCGATTGTAAAGATATAGGAGATTCAACAAATCCTGACCAACGGGGAACTGCCAAGTTTGCCAGATAACTATTTGTCTACTCCCAATATACAAGATACAATAGAGTAACAGGAGCCCATAACTGAAGGATGTCTTAAAATTTTCTTCATCTAGAAGAAAAAATAAGTCTGAAATGTGGTGAATCGAGAAATGAAGTACTACACACACACATATTATGTCAGATCTTCTAGCATATTCCATGCGTATAGTCCATTTGCAGCTGCAATAACTAGGAATGCCGACATAGAAGAAAGAATGGTAAACCAGAAGAGAACAAAAACAAACATAAAGCCCAATTGAAAGTCAGATCATAGGCAGCAAATTTGTGAAAGGAGATTTGAAGCTCAACCGATTGTAAAGATACAGGAGATTCAAAAAATCCTGACGAAGGGGAAACTGCTATGTTTTCCAGATAACTATTTGTCTACTCCCAAGGTACAATAGAGTAGCAGAAGAGCTCATAACTGAAGGATGCCTTAAATTCGTTCCTGCATGTTTTCCATATTTGCTAACCAGAAAAATGAACAATGGAAAGTTATACTTTTCTTCATCTAGAAGAAGAAATAAGTCTGAAATAAGGTGAATCAAGAAATGCAGCACTCACACACACACACATTATGTAAGGCATGGGCCAATATATTAACCCCAACGCACACATTGAAAACAAAGGCAACCTGAAGAACCAATAATCATATCCGTCAAACAAGACATTAGTCACATCAACTTCCTAGTACAAAAACTAAGAAGCAGGGGCCAGGGAATCAAATTGTGCACTATTAAACAAGGAGCTATATCAAAAAAAAAAAAATGCAGATTCATCAGGGAAAGGAATTACTTTCAGTGATAAACAATTATTTTTTCAATCATTAGTAAGCAACTGAAATTAATACTTCCTAAAAGGATTTGTATCCATTGACCTGCAGGTATATGAATCATATAAACTTGTGCTCTTCCTAGTTTCAAATAGGATTAAAATGAAAAGCATGTAATGGAGATAGTTTCTTATAGGGAACCTCCTTTTGATAAATTGGAAACTATTTTTATTTTTTAGGATAAAACTTGAAGAGGCCAAACTGTTTCAAGCACGAGTTGATGATGCTAGTAGAGAAGTGGAAGATTTAAAGAGCACTGCTATTGCAGAAAGACAAAAAAAAAAAAAAAAAAAAAAAAAAAAAAAAAAAAAAAAAAAAAAAAAAAAAAAAAAAAAAAA